TTAAGCCAGTGCTGGCCAGAGCTCCAAGCACAGCACTGGGCTGAGCCATCATTCTCAGTTTCCCCAGTGCTGAGGTTCAAATGATGCCAGCTCGTTCTCAAGAAGGCAGCATGGAGAAGTAGATGTTCCTGTTTTTCCAAAACAACCTTTTAATTATGCTCTTTTTAATAGCAGCCTTTTTCCAACACTTCAGCAGTCAGGGCTATTAATTAAAGAGCCATGGTCTAGCAGTGGTAATATAAAACTCAGCATCTTTTGGTAGGCCCTTCTTACACTGATACAGAATGTTTGAAGGAAAAGCTCCCCAYGCAGTCAGAGCTCCTTGTTCATGACACAGCAGCTTCTCACTAACCCAACAGTTTGGATAGATGATTTTCTGTCTGGTCATAAAGCACATCCTGGGTGACAGGGAGAGCTTGTGTGCAGTTAGAAAAATCCGCCTGATACGCCAGGCCACGAGTCAAGAAAGACAGCCACGCTCCAATCCTGTGCTCTTATCACAGGAATGCTGTTTGTCCTAAACTCATGGAGAAAGGGGACCCATCCAGGTGCTGAAAGCCTCTTTTTTTGCTGCACCACTGTGCAGGGGATGCTCTGCTGTCGCTGGGACTCATCCCCACATGAGTGAGAAGTGTCACACACCCATTTCTTACCCAGCATTTTGGGAAAAGGAAGCTCCCCAGTAGAAGATGGAGCTATCACCCCTAAGGCTTTGCCATCAATTTCTCTCTGAAGACAAAACCATTAAGAGAGGATGTGGATGAGGTCTCTGCAGCAAACACTCCCTGCTCAAGCCCAGGTGAGCTGTGCTGGGCCATGGCACTGGGTGCTGGCACAAACCTGCACATCCCAAAGCTGCACATCCCAAAGCTGCACCTCCTCCTGCAGTTCAGCTGACACAACAGCCTCAGCCAGCACAGCACGGCAAAGCTGTGCTCACTCACTGCAGGGTAATGCTCATGGTGTTTCCTTATGGCCACTGAGATTCATGGTTTACTACAGACCCTCCTCTGGGGCATTTCACGATAAATGCCCAGCTATCCCAGCACGAGGAAGAGCCATTGTCCAGCTTCTCAGATTTGACACTGACAGAAACTCCTCAGCACATCTGCCTCCTCCAGAGCAGTGTTACCCTCTGCCTGCCCAGGAGAGGATAAACTGAGAGAAAAGGAGCAAAAGATGAATAAAAATGAAGCAATGACAGCCAGAAAGATGCATGTTTCTTTTTCAGGCCCCAYAACAACATTCACCATTCTTTCTCACATAAAAACTTCTGTGTAAGGGGCAAGAGCCCTTTAAAGCTGTGGAAAATCTTGACAGCACCTGCAGCACCTGTTTGCAGAGATTTATTTCATGTGGGTGCAATGYCTCATCCTTAAATCTAATCTTAGGGAGAAGGTGTAGGAAGAATTCCAACTAATTCCATTAATTCTAGATCAGAGGCTGAAAAAAGCCCCCTCAAACAAAATTCAAAACCAGTTGAATTAACTGAAAAAAATAYATCTATTTTTTCTTTTCCCAGATTAAACCTAGAAGATTGGGTTGAGACTGAAGCCATTACTTGGATTTGAGAAATCACCCTTCAATAATACCTGTTCAGTCAAGTGCTGAGAACTGGAAAAACAGAGCTGACTAAATGCAGGTTAGAGTCAAAGTGATGTCCACGGGAATTGCTCACCTCTGGAACAAGCAGAGCGACAATTTGCTTGTGCATGGGTAATTAAAGTGGGGCTGGTTTTCATGGACAGGGATTTTAGGGTTTTTTTTTGTGCAGAGAGCAGCATCACCCCCAGTCCAGGGGCACTGTCCAGTGTGGRTCTTTCCAAGCTGGTCCAGGTGGAGCAGACCCTCCACAGGCTGGCAGAAATCCTGGCGCTGCTGCAGCCAGCCAAGGAGGAGGATTTTATGTCACCTGCTTGGAGGTGAAAAGGGCTCCACTCTGCTCTCCCCCCATGTGTGTCACACCGACCTTATTTGTGTTTACAGCCCCTGCTTTGGGAAGGGAACACTCACACAGGCACACACACCCTTTCTCCAGGCCACAGGGTATTTTCCAGCTCAGCAGGTTATCCCCAGACRTGTGAAAATGCAGGAAGCAAAGCCCCATGGCAGTGAGAACACTGCRGATGCATGTCCTGCACCAGCTGCAAGGGGACAGGAGGGACAGGGACATTGTGACCCCTCCACGTGCCAAGAGCCCTCACACGYCACCAGCCTGACCTTAAAAACATTGCTGTCCTTGTTAAAAACCACCTTACAACACAACATTGCTTCTCCTTTGTAACAAGAAGGGCTACACGGGTGATTTAAATGCTAATTTTGGTGCTTTCTGAACCACTCGGTGACCTGAGGTCATCTCCCATCCCTTCCATTTACAGCTTTTGTCCTGGCAGCCTGAGAGCCAGCTGAGAGTAAAATCCTTTCCAGCTCTTSAGATGATTTTCACTATCACTCACTGGAGCTATTAAGATTCTCAATGCGTGGATCTGGTTTCCAATAGTACAAGCTGCTTGGGAAAGGTTAGAGTTTGTTTTAAATAGCTCAGCCATCTGTCCTGTGGAGCCTGATGGGAGCTGCACACATCAGAGCAGCCAAAACAGAATTTTTCAAACTGTCAGKTTTTTTATTACAAACATTTCAGTTTGAATCAGACCTGTGTCCTTAAAGAAAAAGTTAAGTCTATATATTTTTCTTGTGTATTATACAAACACTGTGAGTCGTGCTTTAGCAGCTTCCTCGCGTTGTTGGAATTTCATCAATGCAAATATTGGGCCCTGAACCTCAGCAGCACCAGGCAATTTTGCAAACCTCATTTGTGTACTTCTAGGCTTTGAACTAAAAATATTCATTTATTACAAGTAGCCATGACACACAGATCCAAGAATCAACACAGAGCAGCAAGAGAAATGCTTCATGAATGGAAATCAGGCACATGGACCTACATTTTTCTCAGCCAGTTCCTAAATGTCAGCTAAAGCCAGGAGTTCACTTGTTCTAGAAAGTGAAATCAATTTATTCACTTAATTCTCAGGATTCACTTTCTTAATTACACATCAATTTTGAGGGAAATGASTTGAAAGCACAGAGGCCAGTTACGTGCAGCAGCTGTTACCAGCAATTGCCAATACACTGCTGGAAAAATAAAAATGTGTGAGAAACAATCAGTGTTTCCTTAGGCAAATGCTGCTCCACATCAGACAAACAAGCATGGCCTTGCTGGCATCTGAAAATCCTGACAGACCCCATGTATTACCCTGGAAAAGCTCCCAAAATCAACTATCCCCTAGCAGTATCCAAGGAGAGCACACAGACAACAAATATATATATTAATCAGAACAACATACCAAAGTTTATTGATTACTTCAAACAAAAGTTTCTGTAATGAAAAAAGAGCAAGTTGCATTCATAAAAGGTAACATTCACATTCAATTTCCTTGATATAAAGCAACATAAATGTATAAAATTGCATTTAAGTGAAAAAAATGTAAGGTTGCAGTCCTTTTTCTTTGCAAGAAGCTGAAAATGTATCTGTTCATTGCCTGTATATAATTTACATTTTCTATACACTACATGGTTTTTTTAAAAAAATTCATAGCTGGGAAATTGGATAGATGGTGCAGTATTAGGAAAGTTTTTCAACTGTGTGTATACAAATTCAATTTGAAGCTTTTATGCAATTCCAAGTCATTTATAATATTCTCATAACGATTAGGATTAGTTTTTGAGAAGTCGCTATGACTACACCAAGCTCCATCGTTATCACTTWAGAGTTTTAGAGGGAATCTTAATTACTTTCCTTATCTTTCAGTGTCACTAGTCAGTGATTAAACCTCAACGAATTATGATGAGAAAAAACCCAGCCTTTTTTTCCTTCAAGTTTCTCCACCGATAAGCCTGTACTGACCTTTGGGCTCACTGAGGAGCTCTGTGACAGTGCAGTGGCACCAGCAAACAGGAGCAGCCTCTGCTACCATCCCTGTCCCATCACTGCCACTGGAGCAGCCTCACACCTTGCTGCCACTGCCACCACTTCTTCTTCTTCTTCTCTCTAACCTCCAAAGGGGCTCCTGTTTCCCCGGGTTTCACAAGTCACACACAGCAATTTCATTTTTGCCACTGCTGAGTGACGAGGATCAGCTCTTCTGCAGGACCAGGGCAGCCTGGCTGTCCTGCCACCCAGCACTATCTGATGATCCAAGCCCAAAAAAACCCCTGAATTTTCACAAAAAAAGCTGCCATTCAAGACATTCCACATTTTTCCAAATGAATTCCACCCCACTTGTCAGCACGCTTGGGTTTGAACACGCAGCTATTGCAATGGCTTGTTCCAGCTGGAGACTTGGACAGGCCAAGAGAAAGATTTGGTTCTCAGAAGGCTCTGTCTTGAGACAGGCAGCAGAAATGATCCTGTTTGAGTGACCATTTGAACAGTTCACACACATGACAAGCTTCACTGTTCCCACTGATACCACCAAGGGAATTCCAGGGGAACAGACTTTAACCCTCGGAGTAGAGCATGACACAAAACAAACTGAGAAGCAAGGTGTCAGGCTTGGGACCATTCGGGCTTGGAATGGTTTTGAATCACAGGAATTAGGCATTTTAGCGCCCATATTTTAAAGGTTATGTAAACACAAGTCAGCAACTGTATATTTAAGGAGAATGGTTAGATTTGGCATAAAGAGCATATCTTCATTGTATTTGTCGTATACTTGATCTGTAGGCACCACATTTTAGCAAGAAAAGTTGAGAACGGGACAAGGTCTGCAAGTTGAATTCTAAGTAATGAGCTAGGAAAACAAAAAAAAAAAAAAAAAAAAAAAAAGAAAGAAAGAAAAGAAAAGCTTTGCCCATGGGACACATGCTGGCAGTGCAGCTCCTTACTTGCATGCAGCAAGGAGTCGAGCCATGGTCAGGACACGGTGCAGAGCCACTGCTGTTGGGGACAGTGCAGAGTGTATGATACAGAGGGGTCCTGTCCGTGTGTCCCCTCCCCTGCTGGGCCATGGCAGAGCCACCACAGCCACAGGGACCCTCCCCTCTCCCTTGGGGCAGGGCCCTCCAAAGKCCTGATGATGCCAGAGAGAATCTGCCAGCAGCTGATCCGCACCAGTTGAACCACAGGGGTGGCAGCCAGAGAGCAAAACTTGATTCTTCCAAAATTTAATAGTCTGCAGTTCAGCAAAATTTGGTGAGGGGACTCTTCCATTTAGTCTTGAATTGTTTTGTTGTATGTACATGACACAAACCCAGCAGCAGAGCAGACCTTGCTGCTTCTGAACGGAGCCTTGAAGCTTCTGACAGCAAATCCTCTGCCCCAGTGCAGAGTGCTGGGGGACAGCAGCACCAGGGAGGGACTGTCACACCAACACAGCCTGCTCTGTCACTGCTTAGGACTTAACACCACAAAAAAAGCTGCTCTTTCCACATACGAAGCATCAGAGAGAAAAAAAATATTGAGCATCAGGCATCTCACCTCTGCTGTGCAGGACCTAAAGAGAAAAGTTCCTAGGACCATGGTACAGGTAGGTTTAAAAAGAACATGCCAATTTAAAAAAACAAATAAAATGTAAAATGAAATCAGGTTTTCAATTTTAAACCGTCTTCTTTCTTCTTAGTGCAAATAACTCAAGTTGCAGTTTCACATGCCTGCAGGTTCAGGCACAGCCCACGTCCCTGGGCTCAGCCAAGGACTGCACTGTCACTCAGCCTTTAAAGTGTTGGAGCAACTGCACAGGGCAGTGATGTTAGCACAGCCTGGCCAGAGGGGCTCACATCTGCCACAGCCCAACTTCTGGCATTTCCTTTCTCCCCACAAAAGYTTCCTTCCATCACAAAGAGCCACAAAACAACCTTTTCTTCACCCTCCAGCAGGAACAAACCCATCAGCAAATTGTTGTGGGAGGATGCTCTGGCACTGCCAGCACTGCAGGTGTTCACACAGACCCCACTGCTGTGGACAGAACACAGACTGCTTCCAGCCATACCTGGAGGAGGGACCAGCAAAGATTCTCCCAAATTTTCCGTAAATCCTGCATCTGGCAGCCCATGGTGGGAGGRTGCAGCCGCCAGCCGAGGCGTGGCAGCCCCAGCATTGCTGCATCCACCTYGTGTGGCAGAGGAGCAGCCTTTTCCCAGTGCCTGCAGGGAGTGAGGGGATGTTACCRGGGTGCAGTCTGTGCTGCTTCTTTGGTCAGCAGAGCAAGAGTTGGGAGCAGCTCCTGCTGCTCTCCGGCGGGCAGAGGAAGCCCCCGTGTGAAACGGGGCTGGCACTGCACTCCTGCACTTCCATTCGAGCTGTTCGGGATGAATTCCTAAAGATGCTTTCTCAGCCTCCAGTGATGCAGAATTTGGCAGAATTGGTTTGTCTGGGAGGGCAGGGAAGCCACCAGGCCAAAGACACAGGGGYACCGTGGGGCCAGTGCTCTGGCTGCTCACAGTCCTTGGGACTCTCACAGGGAACTGCCAGCTYAAAACCACGGGGGTTCCTACAGCATGACAAGACAGTGTTGTACGGAGCACTTTAAGGTATCCTGAGAGGATATCTTTCTGCCAAATTAGTAACAGCATCTTCACTCTTCACATAACCATTCTCTATACGTTTGTATGACACTAACACAGGCAGATCAAAGGGGCCAGCCTGCAAAAATCAGAAGGAAAACACACATGTATTGCAACAGTTACATTCCCAAACTCAGAAACCTTTTCCTGGGTTATTTAAAAAAAATTTGAAATTATACAGGGGAAGAAGAATGATTAGCCCGTAATAAAAGTGCCAAATATCATTCACAACCAAGCAGTCAGATAATAAATCAATTTCTAGAGTTTTTCAAAATGATGCTTGCTGTCCCCTGCAGCTCCTGTTTGTGGCAGTCCAGCCCTTCCCACACCAGTCTGCACCAGTTTGTGGTGGTGGAGAGCACCACCTAATGTCCCTGGGCAGGGCTGGCTGCAGGGGCAGGGTGCCAGAATGCACTGGAGGCTGGMTAGAATGCAAGCTGAGCTGCTGGACCTGCCATGCCCATAATTCTGATTTCTTCAGCAGCAGGGGTGGGCACAAAGAGGTTTGTGGATAATCTGCAGGTTTGTGTTTGCARCAGACACCCCATGTAACATCCCCCCTAAAGGAACAATTGTGAATTCAATCAGGCACTTTTATTTATTTTATTCTGCTGCTGGCTTACTACAAGGTTCAAAATCAAGTCAGCTGGTAGGAGGATGCTCTCAGTGTGTGTACAAACACCGTGACATGCCTCCATCCCATGTGCTGACACAGAGAAAAACATGAGTTTAGTTTCCATCTATGCAGATACATTAAAACATTATTGTTTCTATCTGCCAGAACAGCATGCACCCTAGACAAAGGGATTTTGCACTATTCAGATGCAATACTGGAATCATTTTAATAACTGAGATTTCAATCCTTCACAGTAAATGTATCCATGGTAGCTTTTATAACCAGTTAGCACAATTCAGACTGCACTCTCAAATTCAATTGTCTGCTAATATTAGATGGAAATATAATGGTTTATATATTGCCAAATATTTGAAAGAATCTGTACAGATATGGGATTCTGAAGAGGCTGGATAGTACAACATCCCCAAATTAAAATGCATCCCAAGTATTGCATCTCCATTCCACAGGACAGGTGCCCCACACCGACAGTCAAGAGGATTACAAGAACCATGGTTTAATTGATTTGGAGGGGGTTACATTTGGTTAATTGATGCCTTTAAAACCATCCCAACTCCTCGGACAGGGTACCTGTTACAACACATTAGATTCATCTGAGAACGTTCTTAAAAGAAGTGGTGTGACAGAAGGTCTGGCCGACAATGAATCAGGGGCCTTCCTGCTGCTCTGCAACAGCGAGGCAAAGAGACTTATAGCACACGAGAGCTACAGCCCAACACAAACCCCTCTGACAGCCAAAACATTTCAGAAAGGATGGAATTTCCATCAGCACTGCCTGGGATCCACAGTGCAACAGGAGGGTATTCAGAAACTGGAACTGCTTCTCAACATGTTTAACTTCAGGCTGGCAGGTTTATGCTGCAGGGGCTTTTGAGGGAGGAAAACACCCCTGATCTCCAAATAAATGGTATTTTTAAAACAGCAGGTAATGGTGGRGATGTGCAGTGACACCAAACAGCAGGGACACGTAACCAAGGCATTTGCTGAGGGTGGCACCAGCACTCCACGCTCAGCAGAGTCCAAGGGGATCCCTCATTGTGAGAGCTGTGGCTCCTTCACTCCCACAAAGAGCAGCACTAACTGGGATGGACTGGGCAAGGTGGGCACTGGGGATCTTCTCCTAGGTCACACAAGCCTGAGCCATTTGACAAATCACCCAGAGGACAATCAACATCAATTCCACCTTATCCCACTTGTATCTGCTCCACTAACACAAGACTGCAGAAGGAAGGACAGAGGAACCAGATTTGTGTCTCACTTGGACACCCTGAGCACGACCAGCTCACCCACCTGAGGGCACCAAGAGACCCAAGGGCAAGAGACAGATGGAATAKTCAAGGAGAAGGTTTAAATTAAGGCAAAAGGTGGGGAAAAGCAAGGTTTTGCTGCGTGAGCAAATCTAAATGTGGGTTTTCAGGAGTTAGGCATTAGAAGGARGAGGAAAGCAGTTGAGCAAGCAACACATTGCGACTCAGAAAGGAAATCACCTTATTCACTCCAAGAAAAGCTGTGATTGCTGGAAGTTTGAGAAAGCATGAAGATAGTGGATGTTCCTGAGGAAGGAAGGCGCTTCGTTACCTAGTTCACAACAGCACAAAAGACAGAAAATTGCAGTACAAGAAAGAGAAAGGCAGAAACCAAGGAAAACACAAATGCGCCTTGCAGTTAAAAAAAAAAACCCAAACAAAACCAAAATAAAAACAACCACATTCYACACAGAAAATTTAATAAAGGCTGAACAAAGCTGATGCGCTGTGTTATAGGAAACTGAGGGTGAAACCCTATCCCATTGAGGTCAAGGACAAAGACCCATGAACCTGGCCTCAAGTCCATCCTCCCCTTCCAGAAGAGACCCTTGGCCCTGCTTCTGGCCCCTAAACAACATCCCTAATCTTGTTTTTCACTTAATGYTCCCCTTGGGACATTGATCTTTATTTTATTTCAATATTAAGCTCAGGATCCTCARTAAGGGTCTTCATTTGAAATCATCTCCTGATCTCAGCTGCCTTTACAAATCTGACTTTGGTGTCTGAGGGCTGACAGGACATCCACAGCTGATATCTGCTTCAGGCACTTATAATAAAGCTCTTACACAAAACGTACATTTAAATATGGCTCAGCCTGTGTTTATAGTTTGGGATGCACATCTAAAGAGACTTTTCCAGTTGACACTCRCTTTGCTTTGCTAAGTAATTTCACAAGAGCCTTTGTTAAATGAATATAAAGTACTCTAGAAAGTAATTATTGAAAGAGGGGGTGGCTCTTTGGCCAACTGCTGGAGGCAAGAATGGTTTCCATCTCAGGTGATTTGAGCTGGGGCTCAGAAACCCCCGGGTCACACTGGCAGGGCACTGTCCCCACACTGTCCTGTGTCTGCAGCTCAGA